AGACAACACACACACACACACACACACACACACACACACACACACACACACACACACACAAAACACACACACACACACACACACACGCACGCACGCACACACACACACAGAAATCGTGATAAATAGGTATGAGCAACAGGAAAGTCTATTCTAATTCACAGACAAAAATTATCCGTTTGCACAAAATAAATCAACAAGATAGCGTATATTCTACTTCAAATAAATATGAATAAATGTAGATACATTTGCATTCAAATAAATCAGCATTACATTATTAAAAAAAAAGACATACTCAAAAGAAATCCATATAAACAAAAACAAAAATCCATTCGCATTTATAAAAATCGTCATAAAATTCATGATCAAAAAAGTAAATAAACAAATAAATAACTGATCCACAAGATCATGTCTATATGCTTATTCACAAACATAAGATTAATTTGTATATAAAAAAAATAACTGTATTTGCGTAATAATAACAATAATTATATAGAATAGAACAGATAGCAAGATCACGTGACCCCCTGTGACGCATCTCCGTTGACGAAAGCGTCATCCTAGATCGGTCTTTCCTTATCCGAAAATATCCGCCTTTCAAAGCCCTTCATCCGACCGCTGGTGTTGCGAGCGATATCCACAATGGCTCCGAAATTTGATCCAGAGCTGGTCCACGTCGGTAATATAAACGATTTTGTGATATTTTGGTGTTTGTTTCGTAGTGTCGGTAGGGATGAGACAATGGCGGTTTGCAAATTTGTATATTTTATATTTAATTTATTTTTGTAGTTTTTTTTTGTTTCGTTGATTTCTTTATATTTTAGGTGTCGGTTTTCTATGTGATATAATTGTCATTTCATCCGTAAATAATATGCCTGATAGTTATTTTGCGCTGCACGTGGTTTCTCTAGGTTAAATTTCTCGTCAAACTCAAATTTCTCAAAACTAAAATTTCGAACATGAAAACAGGAGTGCATTTTTTTTTTCAAAGGACAATCATATATTCAAATTTATAGGAATATTCGGGAATATTAATAGATTCTTTGGGATTTCATTTTACGCCTTCCGTAAATCATCAAATGCGATTACTGTGAAGGATTTTGTTATAAATCAAGCTGGAAATTAATTTTGTCTGAATCTAACCTAACCTAACCTAACGCCTGACCCAATCAGCAGACTAACCTTTGCTTCATGATCGTACTGGTAGACTAGTCTCCTGGTATATCAATTTAAAGGTTATGTATATATTAAACAGTATACGCGTACATGTGCGTATACGCCTGTGAGTGGATGTGTGTCTGTTTCCTGTCTTGTGTTGCATTCATGTTCAAGTTTTCGCAATTTTCTTTCACATTTCAGCTGGTTCTTTGTAGATTCATCAATTTCACATAACAGGACAACCCAAGCCGTCTACCTTCAAAGCCTTATGACTTAGCATTATAATAAATTCTTCCAATCAATTATTAAATACAAAATATAATTATCGGTACATCCCTTGCGTCCCCCCCCCTTCCCCTCCACCAGTGACGGTCCGCTGCCTCGGCCAACGTCTCCCCGCGGCGAACGTCTTGGCCAGCAAAATCGGGCCGTTGCAGCTGAACGTGAAGAAGGTGTGCCAGCAGATCTGCGAAGTCACCCACGACTGGCCGTGTCAGAAGATCACGGTTAAACTCACGGTGCAGAACCGGCAGTGCACGGCGGAGGTGATACCGTCCGCCTCCGCGTACATCATCAAGGCTCTCAGGAAATCGGACAAGCCCAAGATCGGTGGGTGAAGAAGAGTCGGTGGGTGGTTGGGGTGCGTGGGGTGTGGGTGGGTGTGGGGTGGTGGCTGGGTGTATGTGTGACGTAGTGGAGGTTGGGGATGTATGTGTGTGAAGGGTGTGTGGAGTAGTAGGGTTGGGGGTGAGGTGGTGGCGGTTGGGGTGTATGTGCGTGAGGGTTGGAGGTGAGAAGGGTTGGGGGTGGGGTGTTGATGCATGTGTGGAGAGTGTGGGTGCGGGTGGGAGGGTTGGTGTGTTTTTTTTTTGTGTGTGTGGGGGGAAGGTTGGGATGGGGTGTATATGGGTGGGTGGTATATGAGTCTTTGTGAAATGTGCATAATAATAGTTTTCATAGTTATAACAGATAATCCCACCACACTGAAACACATACGAGAAAGAAAAAATAAACAAATAAATAAATAAAATGTAATTGATTCCAACACACAAAACAAAACGACCAAGCACAAAAATAAATACATAAACCAACAATAGATAAACACACGAATAAAAAAGATACTAGATTAAACAACCAACCAACACATCAAAGCACAACAAAAGAAAGAAAAACAACAAACAAAAGACCAGCCGATCGGAAAACAAATAAACCAACCCACGAATTCCCAACAGACGGTCAGCGTGGGAATCTAGCCCTCCACGAGATCGTTGGGATCGCCCGCAAGATGGCACACCGCTCAATGGCCAAGACACTCGCTGGCACTGTCAAGATGGTGCTCGGGACCGCCCAGGTTTGGCACCGTTTTTGTTTTGTTGGTGTTAGCGTTGGTGTTATTGTTTTTTTGTCACTGTAATTACTATTAGTGTTAGGTATTGTTATTAATTTACTTGTTATTCTTTATTATTGTTTTTTGTTATTATTGCTGCTTTTATTATCATTACTATTATTAGTGCCGTTGTTGTTTGTTATCACTATTGCTGTAGGTTATTATTATAAATATATTCATTTTCATTATCATTGTTATTATTGATATCAATATCTTTATTATAGCTATACGAATTTCTACTATCGTAATCATCACCCTTATATTAATTTTTACAGAGCGTCGGGTGCCTAGTGGAAAATGAACACCCCCACAGAATCATCGAAAAAATTAACGATGGCAGCATCTTCGTTCCATGTGAATAGAAAACGGGCATCGGGTTCCTATGCAATTGGAGACCCCTGGATTGAAGCTGTAACTGAACAAGATTTGTAAGGATAAGCTGATTTGCCCCTTTTTGATATGTAGGGATTAATTCAATTTATTTTTGTGGGTGTTGTTAATGATTTCATGAGTCAAGACGATTTTTTGTTATGTGGCCCATAGGTTATAAAGCGCATGGATGAATTCTATGTTAAATTTCTTTATCCTTTTACATTGTCCTTGGCTAAGAAAGTATTATGTTGACTAATTATGCCATTTTTTCCTTATTGTCCTGGGCTAATAAAATGAATCAATGGCCTGGTTTTTAATATCCTTTTTACATTGGATTTTCAGTGAGCAAAATAACGCTTATATTATCAATTTTTGATATTCTAAATATCAAAACGGAGACAGAGAAGGAAAAAAAGGTAGGGGTAACAAATAAAAATTGAAATATAAAAGAAAAATATGAAAAAAGACCCAGTTATATATATATATTATAGCATTTTAAGTCAGGGTGGTCCAACTTCATCTTAGGTCACTTAAGCGCTTATCGGTTGCATGGAGGGACACACACACACACACACACACACACACACACACACACACGTATATATGAATGTATATTTATTTCTAAGAACTAAGGCCAATGCAAGATTAAATTAAAAATCTATTATCTTTAGGTGCTGCGCAGGTTCTGCTTCAGGCATGCACGCATTAAATAAAGGCTCCGAATGAACACAAATAGTGGCAGTCCTTCCCTGACAATAAGAAGTCCGGACGCGGTTTTTCCTTCACCTCAATTCCAATGCTGTCAGTGGCGAGCCGAAGACACGTCCAGTGTTTCATTTTCCATTTGATTTCTGGTGGTAGATTCAACTTGCTCCATAGATGAAAACGTGCATTCACATAGATATGTGCTATCAAACATGGGATGCAGCGTTAAAACAGTTTCTCAGCTTAGGGACTTTATCTTTGCAAACCAACTTCCAGAAACTCTCCTGGGGCCGGATTCACTAACTTACGATCGCAACATATTTACCAGCGGTCATTTACTATTGCCTTTACCAGCGATGGTAGAGTGGGATTCATGGAGAAATGGTAACCTGCATCGACAGAGTTACAATCGTAAATCGACTCATTCTAATGGTAGCCAACAGAGGCCTCTAGTAAAGCAATTCCACCAATCAGTAAGCGCCATACACAATATTTTCGGTTCCTTCGCCCAATCACTTAACATATAAGTAGAACTAGACACAAACTTCGTGTGTACAAAATAAATTAATAATACAAGTGGTTGCAGGCCACAGGCAAATAAACTGGGACACTTGTGGATCACGGACTTGAGCTGGACCACCGTTTTAAGTTTATGAATTTAAGAAATATATACATATGTGTGATACTCTAGGATAATATCGTTCTTACTTCACACGTTTTAATACATATTTCCTATATAATGTATGAACTGACTATAATTCGTTTCCCGACAATAAACAAAAAATGCGAGAATATGAAACTTGTATAGACCTTGATCACTGGCACGCGTTGTTTAAAAGGTACTTATCGCTCACACTTTCTCACAACCACTACTTTCTAAATGAAAAGGCCAGTCCCATCTTCACGTGCAGACACCTCATTAACAGTATATTTCTTTGCCTTTCTCGGACTGCCGTGTTTAGACATGTTAAAACACTTGGCGGAAACGCATTATCGATACTTCCCAACCTCAGTTTAGAAAAGCGCAGTCGTGCAAACACCCGAAAGAGAGCAGAAAAATTTAACTGCCCAACCACCGAACGACGCAAACCATCGCAATCGCACCGTAATCAAGTTGGCGTTCTTTTTCGCTCACTTCCTCAGATAAGAAATGATGGTAATAATAATAAAACTGCATGAAACTGGTTTATCAGATATTGAAAATAATGGACGCTTATAGCAGATGGATACCCCGAAAGTGAATGGAAATACATGCTAACTGACAGTGAGGCAAAGTAGCACTGGCTAAGTCGTTTTCTATGAAATGGTCCCCTGTGAAGATGATGATGTAGTAGTACCTTTTAATGACATACAATTCAAAATACTAGAGGCCATAGAAGACTAGGATTTAATATTAGAAAGCAAGCTACTGTACGCCCCAAACTATGGTAGCTTACGGCATGGCGCTTCACTAATAGTAACCTTTCCGTTTCTTCCATTAGTACGCTTTGCCACACTGTACTTCATGTTCCACTTTGTATTCCATTATCTAGCACAGCAAAGAACTCAGCAGTCTACAGTGGCTGTTGTCTAATGATTTAAGATACATTATCACAATTTCTATTTCCAAGGTCCAGAGGCAGGACATGCCCCACGTCAAAATACCTAAATGTTATTAGCAAACTACTCTGCGCCTTCCACCGCAAAGCACTTGTAACATATATTATCTCTTAACTAAGATTCCTGATTTTAATTCGTCAGTGATTCTTCAGAAGGTACCAAAGGTTGTGCCTGGCACGTTAGTTCTGTTGCTTCAGTTGATCGGATCTAGTGACGCTCATATTAAGACACTAGGGACATCTGAAACGGAAAGTTGAACCGGCCTTATGCGCCCGTCAGCCAATCACCGTCGAGACAGCCCTACCGTGATTAACAGACGGGCGCGGAAGATTTTTTTTTTTTTTTCGGAAATGACCTCGAATAAATCTGATTTTGTGAGTATTAAACCTTTTCACAAGAATGATGGTAATTCATAGTCCGAGAAATGTTACTATCAATGCATATTAAACTCAGACAAAATTTTCCGGATATTTCGGCCACCGCTATCGGCTACAAATAAAAAGTTCATCTCACGTTGTTACTAGGATATGAGAAGGGATGTGTTCATTCCTTATTAAGACAGAATCATAATGATGGCCATTCAAGGGACGAGTGTAAACTAGTGCGATGGCATCCGCTATAGAATGGGGGGGATATATGGGCCTCCTCAATCTACCAGAATCCATTAACTGGACCTTTAATAGAATGTATATGTTGCCCTCGCAGTAAACAATCTACCAAGACGCAGGTGTTTCGGGTTCTTATGTGAATTCCCATGTCCTGGCGTTAGCGTACACATCTGAAGTGATCTCCAAATCATGCAATGGAGGTAATATCTTTTAAGAGGACGTGGCAACATTGTATCGCAAAAGGCGTTTTGTTTTCACTTCAGGTCATGATCCATATCATCTCCGTTCACACTTGCATTGGTTGAGAATAAAGCGTCCTTATTGCTTCTTCAGGAATCTTCACTAAAAAGCGCTTAATTAATCCACAAAGGTACTGGCA